GTTTTTCTGCAACCACTATGCGCGCGCAGCTGCAAGTGACGTAACTGTGACGTCTACTCGTAATTGGTCTATTCAAACTAAAACTGAAATAAATACAAATTAAAGCTAAATAGAAATATAAAACAATTAAAAACTCAACAGATCATAAAATAAAATAAAATCTGACAATATAAAAAGACAATATAATAAATAAAATGTATACAACTGTATATAAATAGTACTAAAATTACACTATTCTATATAAAAACTATACAAAACTTCATGATAAAACCGAGGCATTAGGAATATGCATATATTTATATTAATGGGAATACTGCTTGTGATTTAAATACAATTAAAAACTCAACAGATCATAAAATAAAATAAAATCTGACAATATAAAAAGACAATATAAAAAATAAAATGTATACAACTGTATATAAATAGTACTAAAATTACACTATTCTATATAAAAACTATACAAAACTTCATGATAAAACCGAGGCATTAGGAATATGCATATATTTATATTAATGGGAATACTGCTTTAAAGTGATTTAAAGTCTTACAGTGACATGAAATTTGTTGAGAGTGGGAGATTTATTGCCTGAGCAGTGTTGTGATGGCTGCACCGACGGTGCTTAAAAGAGATCAATTTAGAGATGCAACTCCTAGAGAGAGGAGCCACTGCTTAAAATAATACAGCTGGAAGAAAACAAACAGAACAAACAAAAAAAAAATTGTCTACCTTAATAACCAACTAGTTTAAACATGCAGTGACTTCGCCGCTTTAATCTCCTTAAAGATCTGTGACAGTTGTTCATTTGTTTAGTTAACATATTCATACTGTACTTACAAACCTCCAAAAGGAATTATTAAAATGAAGATGAATTTTAAGAATGTGCATTCTGTATGGGCATGTCCTCTGATGCGTTCTGAAAAACTGTGATGATTGTCTCCACATATTTACTGAAAGACAATACAAGCAGCTTATTATCTTGTTTAACCAGACTTAGTGTTTCTTTGTTTTGAATCCACGCCTGTTAGAATGCATCATCTCCATTAGTTAACCCAATAACAGTAAGTCCACCATTAAGCAGAGCAAATATATTCTCTGCATAAGTGGTGTGAGGAGACAAAACGGAAGATCCACCCAGCAAGGAAGTTCAAGCATGTGCTAGGTGTGGCGGGAAAATATTGACACAGTATAGTACTAAAAAAAATTAACTTCTGTCAAAACTCACAGTCAATGCACTGAAGTATCGGTATTTGAAGTTAGTTTTATTATTATTATAAATAAATAAATTGATAGTTTATCAAAAAAATCTGTTATTTACTGACCCTAATGTCATCCCAAAACTGTATGGGTTACTGGCATATTAGCTGATTATTAGTACTTATAAAGCTCATTTGAATGTCTTTTTTCTGCATGACCATATCCTAAATCCCTTAACCCTAACCCATACCTAAACATAACTACTACAACAACTACCTTACTTTTATCAATTCAATAAAAGTCGTTGAGTCCACTGTTGTTTACTTCTAATGTTTATCAGCCCGATCAAATGCAAGAAAAATAAATCACCACTAAATATTTATCCCTTTTTATTGTTTGGATGCTGAACCATCCATTTAGCTTTCCAGACATTACGACAATGACACATATTTGCACTGAAATTGAATAATGCGAACAGTTTTGGTGCAGCAAATTGTTTGAAAATATTTTATATTGTTTTGTTTGACATTTTATAAACAGGCATTTGCATCTACATTTACATAAAGAAAGTTCAGTACTAAAATTCAGCACTTCAGTACTAAAAATTTCTAGGTCTGCAACAAATGATTAATCGACTATTACTCTATAGGTTATTTCCTGATCAATCAATTAATCCTTTAGCTAACTTACTAATAAATAATAACATAACTTCTGCCATTAATTGTGCAATGTTTTATTCAAACATTTTCTCATAAAAATACTTTAGAAGAAAAAAAAAAACAAAAAAACAAAGTGCCAAGAATTTTAAGTGTGATGTTAACTGTGATGTTTCGAATTGATTGTTGAGTCTTGAAATATTTTTGATCATTCAGCTTGATTATATGACATGGCAGACAACTAGCCGCCCAGTGCGGTACCATTAATAAATTGCGGGTTGTGAGGGTTGCCAAGAGCACAAAGAAGGACAGATTATTCTTCCTTGGCCAGGAAAATAATCTTTCTTTGAATTGATAAATGATTATTTTGTCTGCTCGGTGGACGGACAGATCAAGTAATGGTAATATTGATTCTGCTACAGTTAATTCAAAGATCTAATCTAAATATTTATTATGAATCATAACCAGTTATAATTCGTCATAAATATTTCCCTTTTTGAGTTGAAAAACCCTACAATGCAGTTGTGAGTCCTGAAATTCTGCATGCGTCAATTCAGTTACAGAATGAGGTTTTCATGCTCGTAAAAAAAAAAATAAAAAATTGCTGTTTGAATGAAGCGGAATTAATCGCCATATTAGCCATTAGCATCTGCTCTAGGGTGTGAACGTAAATGTCATTGTAGGGCTGTGCAATTAATCGCATGTGATTGTCATGCGCATCTCGTCAGTAAAGCCGGTTCCGTGATTGGTAGTAAATCGCCATCACCTGCTTTCAGATGGAGCGGCATTTAATACACAGAGCCGTAGTTCACTGACAAGCTAGGCAATATCGCGTTCATAATCGAATGCTATTCATCTGCGATTATGAACGCCATATTGCCTAATTGTCAGTGAACTACGGCTCTGTGTAGTGAATGCCGCTCAATCTGAAAGCAGTTGATGGAGATTTACTACTAATCACGGGACCGGCTTTACTGACGAGATGCGCATGACAATCGCATGCGATTAATTGCACAGCCCTACGGCATTGATTACATCAACGCATAGTTTTGGTCCTATTAGATACTAGTGTTGTGTTCGATACATCGATACGACGATGTATCGTCACAGAGATTTGACGATACGAGTATCGATACAGCTGGCCCTGTATCGATATTGTGGCACGTGTGCAGCAG